CGCATTTCCCACCACCCAAGCGGCTCGCCACTGGACCTCCCTCCCTCCCTCCCTCCCTCCTTCCCACCCTAACTTGCTCACCAACAGCGGCCACCCCCCTAAGGTATAAAAGTCTTGGGCCATGTCCACGTCTGACAACCAATCTTCCAGTTCCATCAACGCCCGCATCACTTCCTCCTCCCCGCCCTCCTTCAAGACCCCGATCAACCGCCCCAGTTCCTCCGCCGGCTTCAGCATGTTCTCGTAGGCTTGTAGGAGCAAATCTTGCCGTTCCGCCCACAGAGTCTCCACCTGCTTCCAGAATGCCCTCTCCTCCTCCCTTTCCTCCCCTTCCACCACTTCCTCCCCCAAAGCTTCGCCAGCCCGCGGACGGGAGGCCAATAGAGAGTCGATCCCCATGCTCGCTCGTTCTTGAGGCGGGAGGCCGCTCAGCACTTTTAACATGGTCCCTCGACGGCTTAAAGGAGGACCTTGTGAGGCCTCAAGGGTCTCCTCGGGAGTGTTTTTGATCACGACAGAGTCCAGAATTCCTTTTGCGCCCGTCTTGTTACTTTTAAAACCCGCAACATCCGTGGCTTGGAGAGCAGATTCCTCCTTTCTCTGTCCTGCCGGCCTTAAGGCTTGTCTTTCTGGTCCGTCCATCAGTTTTCCTAACCTCTCCCCCGTGCTAAGATCCAGTTTAACGTGCAAACCGGGCGGTACGGAGGCCCCAGGAGGGATGGCCTGCCATTCTGTAGTTGCCACAAAGACGTTTTCCTCTTCCTGTGGCGATCTTTTGGCGGCGGGCTGCTCCGCTGCAAAAGAAACGATCAGGAAAACTAGAAGGGAGATGGAGCATAGGAGGAAGGAGGGACGCTGGCCTGGTGTAACTTTCCGCAATGGAGGATGAGGCTTCATCGTTTTGCCCCTGATTTTGGCTTGGTAAAGAAACATGTGGAGAAGAACGGTTGTAAATGGTCCTACAGCGAGAAAAGTCATGCAAAGAGGGGTATAGAACGAGAAGGAAAGGGAGGAAGGGAAAGCCCCTTATTGCCTTCCTCAGCGCTTCACGCCACGAAATACTGGCAGGAAAAAAATCGAAGAGTTGGTACATCTTTTTGTACCACTGCTAACCCTGATTTTTCGTCCTTTACCCACGCGCACGTCGTTTTTGGCAGTGGAAATGAAGCACGTCTTTTCTCGCTGGCAGTGCTTCCTCCTCGCTGAAAAGCTTCGCTTTCCCTAGTGGAGTACGTAGTCTTTTCGTGTACCCTGCTTGATAATTTCGAATATTGTACGAGCAACGCACACATGAAAGATGTCTGGACTCTCAACTGTCTGGATTCGCAGTGCTTGTGAAAACATTTCAAGCCATTTGTCAGTCTTGCATTCAGGCAGACGTGGTAGGCAAGATAGGATGGCTACGCTGGGCATCAAGCTCCCGCTTGCTGAATGTGGAATAGTCAAAAACGAAAACACAGAGGCTGAATGCGTCTCCGGGTGACAAAAGAAGGATAATGAGGGGCGGATCGTCGAGAAGGGCGCCTTGCCCAAAGCAATGTACGACCGTCACCAGATCATCATTCGTGGCGTAGCGGGTTAGAATATGTTTATTTTTCACCGGGCTCCTCCATGCGCTGTCAATTATCGCTGCTTTCCTTCTCTTAATCAGCTACCCAGCGTTCTCCAGTCTCCTACATTCTGGCAGTCTTTCGACTTCTGCTTTTTCTTTCACGCTATGTGTTCCTAGCACGCTCCTCCGCAACTACAAGCCTTGCTGCAAGGATCCCTTCCGATTTTCCGTCATAAGTTTAAACATTCTCTTCGTGTCCTCGTTGCTCTACGCCCGTACAAAAGTCCTACTCCGCGGAGGCACATGTCGGGGCAGAACGAGGCACCTTCCTCGCTTTTCCGCCTTCCCTGTTTCCGCCGGCACGCATACTCACTCCCCACCCGCTAATCCCAGGGTGTCGCCCCGTCCTTTCTTCATCGCATTACGCATTACTTGCACACTCCATCCTCGCGGACCTATGCCTGAACTTGAACTGAACTTGTTTCGCGTATCTCAGAGGCCCCCTGAGAGGCCTTGCATGGGGAAACGATCCCAGTCCCATCCCTGTTTCCACCGTCCCGACCGATGTACGAACTCCTAACCATCGCGCTCATTTCGAGCTCTTAAAAGTGGAAAAACTGATGATACTCCTACCAAGGCATAATAATAGTGCCGGTCACGCCAACATTTGCCTGCAATCGTCTCCGATCCGAGACCCCTTCCCTCCATTCCATTGTTGTGCGCCTACAGACGCCTCTACTTTCGGGTCCGCACGATTTCCGATTTCAAATTATCCGCAAATCCACCGCCCGCCCACCCCTCCATTCGACCTTGACACCCGGGGGAAGAAGGGAAACAAAAAACACTCTCTCATGCATGTACAAAGCACCAGCACTCAAAACTGTTGAGGGTAAATAAAGCTTTTCCCCTCCGCGACGCCGCTTTCATCCTTCTCATTAAAAAAATTTCCTAAATCGTGTCTTTCCATTTGTGCATGCA